GGAGCATTATCGTTTATGTCCGTTATTCCAAGTTCAATGTTGAAGATGCGCAAGGGGCTTTCTATGATAACATCAAGTTTCAGAAAACAGTAGGTTGTTTTTGTCGGACAAAGGTATTCTCTGTCCATCTTTTCGACGATATACAACTCACCCGTCTTTTTATTGACATCTAGATATTTTTTGCTATGAAAAATATCAAGTTTTACCTCTCGTTGTGCCAAACCTCCAGGCTCAAGTCCCAAATCCGCAGCGAGATTAGCCACAATGGAACCCCTTTCCATCTCCTCCTCAATGGAGTACCGTGTCACTGACAATGCGCTGGGCCATACCGCAGACAGGACAAAGAAAGTGGCCAAGAAAATCATCCTTCCTTCTGCGGAGAACAATACTCCAGATTCTAAAGACGTGCGTTGGTTTTGTAGATTTTTAAGATAGGGAAGAGAACATGTCTTTGGGTGTTAAATAAAAAGTGTATCGTCCAAAAAGCTGTGTCCTGCATCCTTTACAAATGGGTGTGTCAGGACTTCCAGCAGAGAGATGCATTGTGCTTTAGTGGTCAACAGTGACACCATGTGACATAGATCAGTAGCTGTGCAGTTGAATCAATTATGTTGCTTAAGAACTGGAAATAAAATATAGTCTCACAGTTCAGTGACATTGAGAAGGATTCGAACATGTTTAAATAATAATTGTAATTTATAAAGGCTTCCAATGTACTTTCTGGTTAAGAATAGCAGTTATAAACGAGGGTCCCTGACAGATATTATAAATGCAGGTTAATTTGAAACTATAGACCCTTTCCTTGTATCCAACATCAGGAAAATAATAAGACATGGTTGAATACATTTTGTAGCAGTTAATGTGCTCAATATTTGCTGCAACATGACTTGGCACATCAAGAGCTTGTTATTTTTAAACATAGACATTTTATCGGGGAATAGGTGAATACAAGTGCAAGTTATTTGTGTGACTAACATACTACAATTTTCTTTAAGCTTCTTCTTATTTATTGTTTTTTTTTCTTTAGTTTTGTTTATTTGACAATTAATTTTCAAAAATGATTGCAACATTAATGTACATGCCCAGTGAAAAGAACATCAAAGATAACACAAGAAAGTCACAGAGCTTTTTTCATCTGGTCCTTGTTGTTTGATGTTATGAAGGTGCATGTGGAGGTTAGCACTCATCAAAAGATAATAAATATAGAGCTGCATATTAACAACATCAATGAATACAATCTACAGCTTACTTTCTGTTTTCTTCATGGCCTTCCTCTGGTTGCTCAGCTGCTGTTTAATAGAAATGCAGGTCATGTGAAATGTCTCTTTAATGGGAATGTGTTGCCATAATGCCTTTCAAAGTGTGTTCGACCCATCATACACTGGAAACCAGGGCAGTCTCTGTCTATTACCCTTTTCACGCTGGTACAAGTTTCAGCTTTTAGACAAGAGATGTAGAAAATGGATTGGTGGATGCTAAATGATGAAATTAAGTTGTGTCTTCATTTAAATTACACAATGGGCTTTACACAATTTTCTTTGAAATATGACCAGTTCATTAGAAGCCACATCTCAGTCAGCCTTGGTCATTGCAAGTATCAGGCCAGCCTAGTTATTGATGTATTATTAAACCTCAGATTGAATTAAATAAAAAAGATGAACAGATTATTCCCGGGCTCAAAACACTGCAAAACTACCTTCTACTAAAAAAAAAAAAACTGTAACCTTTTAACCTAAAACGATGGAAACAGTTTATGTCATGCAAATTAAATTCAGTTCAAACTCAAATCAATCAAATTAAAAATAATTTACCTTCAAGCCTTAAAGTAACTTTCTGTTTCTGATATGGGGATCTTAGATAGACTCTGTTGAGTGCAGTTGATCACTAAAATATGACATGTCATTTAGGAAAAGGTCCTGATGGCATGAGTGTGCTCCATTTAATAATCTGTATTGTATTTCTTACAGCATAAACAGTTACTTTATTTAGCATGATATTGTAGCAAAAGCAAATGTGTGCCTGACTACTTGTTTATTAAATATACTACACTACTTTCCACCACCAGCTGTATGTTGGACCTTCTAAGTCCTTAGGTACCAGTAGCTCATTGTGGATGTAAGGATCTGACATTAAACCGGCTATGGCCACATGATTCCTCCTAGAGACCAACAGACATCTTCATTATTCACAAATGCAGCCACTGATGAGAGATGAAGGCAATACAAAATGTCTTCTCCAGCCCAAGTTTATGATTATGTTCTAGAGGTGTTGTTATATGTCTGCTTTCTCCTTTAGTTAGTGTTCAACACAGCACTCTGAGTTGTCTCATCTAAATAGCAATGTTGAAGCTGCTGCTTTGTAAATCTTGTTTTGGTGTCTGTGACGTATTGAAGATCTCAGTCAGCCTGCTTGTTTTTTTTATCCTGTAACGATCTGCAGACAGATCATGTGTGATACTTTGAGCCAGAACACAGACATGGATCCTTTGAGTGTTCCAACCTGTAAAGAGCTTAAAGGTCAGAGGTGCAACACCATGCCTGAACAGCTTTCACTGGCATAATCCATAACTTCTGATTTTGATATATGCTATATTGAGTTTAGAACAAACAAGGCAACTTTTTACAGTGTGAAGAGTCACATAAATTGAGCAATAATATTGGGCATAATATTAGGGGGTTGAGATCAGTGAACAAAGTCACACAAATCTGACGAATTAGCAATAAAACAAACTTTTCAAATACAAACTGAGAAGTATTACCTTCCTACGTCACTAGGGTGCGACAAAGCACCAGGTTTGGTTCAGGTTAAATAATAAAAGCATTGTTATCCTACACGATCTGGGACGGTGTTCTTATAGTCTTGTGACACAAACACAAAGAAGAGCCTCTGGGTTTTTATTTGAGGAGAGGAATCTGAATAATATTGTATTCAATGTCCCTAAATCAACAAAAACACGGACACACACCAAAAAAACAAAATAACACATTAACTGAATAGTAATTTGCTGCATGTAACATAACTGTGGAAATATTTATAGATGTGGTTGCTCTGTGTCTGTCTCAAAAAAGAACAAGAGAGCTGCCAGGCTCCTCGGCCCCTCCTGCTTCCACTCTGTTGTTTTTGTCTCCCCAAATGAATTCAGCCAAGCTTCATTTTGGTTTTGTCTTTTAGAGTTTTGGATGACGTCATTGTAACCTCCCAGCCTGACACACCCTGAGTGTACAATGCAAAAATAATCTACTCTTCCAACCTAAGACTGTTTGTTTGGTGTGCCGTCTAATGATTCTTACTCCATGATGCCATCTGGTGGAGAAATCTGTTCTAAAGTCAGTGTTGCAGTGTGTTGCAAGATGGTGCAAATGCTCATCATAGTCACAGTCATTGAGAGTTGATATGAAACATTGATGCATACAATACAATAGCATGCAGCATTTGACTGCGATTAATGCTAAAAACACGATTACACTGAATAAATGAATTACCCCACCACGGTCAGCTGCTACGTTCAAATGCTTCTATCAATCCATAGAGATATTATATTACATTGTGATACTCGCACAGGGCCGTAATTATTACTTTTACTTTTGATAGTTTATAAGTTTGCAGCAGTTTCTTTAGTTCTTGCATGATTGCTGTGACAGCGTTTTTGTTAGGAAAAATCTGAATATGTCTCCCACAACTGGCCTTAAAAAACTTGATTGATTTAATGTTTTGACTAAAGAGCTGATGAAAGTCATGCAATACATTTTGGTTATCAAAGTGTTAAGGGTGGCTACCGTGGCTTAATTTGCATTCAAGATTCGTTTGCGTGTGTCCGTGTCATGAAGAGGAAGAAGCGTGCTTCAAAAACATTACATTCCACTAACTGCACCTGAGTTCATTGAGTTGGGTCACATGCGCCTTCTGGTGGACGAATGGATACATTGCATCTGGTTTGGAAAGAAGCACTGTTCAAAAACTATTTCAGCACTATGGCCATGGACAGCTGCCAATGCAAATGACCCACATGGTTTAAGGATGTGGGGGACACGACTTGCCCTTTGCTGAGTATCATGTTGCTGTAAAGATAATTTCATTACAATTATTTAACTATTTTCAACACAACACTAAGTATAAGATATACATAATGTGTCTATGCTATGTAGCTTGATCCCCATGTCCAAATTATTTAAAAAATCAACATTTCTTTAAATAAAAAATGGTTCTTTTAGCAGATAGTAAGCATAATAATTCTGCCCCTCTGATTCCTGAACAGAACTCTATTCCTGACTCATCTGAAAGTAAGCCAAGCTGAACCTAAATATGGCTGCCCCCTCAGCCGTCCCTGTGGATCACCTTACCGCAGAGAAGGTTAGCCTGCTCCCCTCCATGCTCCCTATGGACACCCGTTTCCTTATTAACAGGATTATTTTCAGTCTGAGCCATACAACGACCTAATTACCCTGCTCATTTCTGGCCAGTGGCCAGCTCTCATCTGTTGACTGTATAACTAATTCCCTGAGAAGTAAGATGTAAAGGGCACAGAGGGAGAAGTCATAGGGCCTGTAGCTCGCATCCAGGTGTGGCATTTGGAGCTGAGCCCCCCTCCCCCGGATGCTTGTATTCGTGTTGGTGGTCTTAATTAAAGTGATATTTCGAGAGAGGAGGTTCTGTTTGTTCAGTTAATGAACCCCACAATTCTCTGCGGGCAAATGGAAATGCAAGCACTGCAATTAGCATATGTTAGCATTTGACTATGTTTATTCCTCGCTGTGGAAAACAGCTTACCAAGGCGAAAAGCTTTTTACCCTTGTAGGAATAGCTGTGGAACTTTTTCACCCCAGAATAATTTACTCGAGCTAATTAAACATAGATCTGGGAAACTTACATCTAAATGCTTTATGCGTGTAGATAGACCAAAGCTGTGATTGAGTGTGAGCATCAGTGAGCGTTGGTAGGGTTAAAGGCCTTGAGTTTTAGGAATAACACATGCATGTTTCAAACACATACGAACGACAATATGAAAAAAATACTTTATTTTCATAAATGTATACAGTACATGTATGGGGAAAATCCCCTCTTTACAGTTGTCTGCGTCATGTGGCAGCTTGCATATACATGATCATATTATTTATCATATTCACTCAAGCTCTGTTAGCATTCAAAAATACAAAAAGAAAACACTTTTTCTTTTCATAAAGCCAAAAATATAAATTCATGATGTGCAAAATTATTTACCACTAATGCTTTTTCGAAACATTTTGGATATAATTGCTGCTCCAGTTTGATTGTCTAAATAATAATAATAATAGGCAGACACATACATTGATCATGTTACACTGGCGTGACACATAAACAGCCATCAGACTTTATTTATTTTCAGCATTTTAGCCAAAAAGGATTCCTCATTTAGTGTTCCCCTTTTGTGCATCCTCTCATATGTCCATTAATGTATTCACTGAATGCTCTCTTCCTCAGTCTTTATATGAGACTATCCGTCGTCATTGAAAACTCAGTCATTGTACAAGTCATTATTTATAATCGCAGCCTCTCCCTGGGGGGACATCTGGAGACGACGCTTCTTCCCAAAGGTTGAGAATGCATTGTGGACGTCCAGCTCGCTTCGGTGTACTACTGGCCTCAGGGTGCAAAAGCCTGATGGTGTCCCAGGGATGTGCACATTGTGGTGGTAGTCAGGTGGTGGGTGGGGGTGCGGATGAGGGTGTGGGTGAGGGTGGGGGTGGGGGTGGGGAGGTATTGATGGCTGCTGCTGTTGAGGAGGAGGTGTGCACAGAGGAGTCCAGGGGCGAGAGGGGACCCCACTGGTTGAAGGAGACATCTTGTAGTCTGTATAGTTAAGGAGAGAAAAAAAGAGGAGAAGCAACTACTTAATTATTCAATATTGACTTAAGGCTGTTGTGCTATTGTCATTAGCATAGCACTTTTCTAACAAAGTTTAGCGCTTTGCAGTCAGGACAATAAACAATGACATCAGCAACAAAAATACACAAACAGATTTGTAATGATGGGGTGCTAAAACAACCCTGCCCTGATGCTGTTCGTGGTCCTGGAGATTAGTTAAGACTATATTAACAAACCAATTAGGAGAACAACAAAGAAAAACATGTCGTTATGAAAGCATAAAGATGTGCAGTGTTTTATACAATGCTATGGTACATAACATACTGTAAATGAGTGAACCTGTGAGGTGGAAGAAGGCTATCTTTTACTAAAGGTTGTAATAGCATAGTGTATAACATATACTCTAATTCAAGTAAAAGTCATGGGTTTAAATGTTCACTTAAATGTAGTCATTATTCAGAATGCTCCCTTAGAGGAAATATATATTTTATCATTGGATTATTATTATTCATGCTTTCATTTTCTTGTCTTACCTAATATACTGCTTGTGTATATATTTGATTCTGTAAATGATGCACGCTTTGCATCTTAATTGAGTATTTTCATATTCTACTACAATTCAAAGTCCCTTACAAATAAGAAACATTTCAGTAAATGTATGTATTTTCTCCACTGCTGAAAATAAATGTGTGAGGATTTGATGAAGGCTGTTTGTCGTCCTCCTCTCTTACCTTTCACCCCTCTCATGTGTGTACCCCAGGTCCAGTACTGTCCAGGCGCCATGGAGGTGACGTAGTTTTCTGGGTCTGCATGCATAGCTTTACGCATGAGGGTGCCATCCATGTTGATAGAGTTATAACTGCAAACAAGGTATCAGTCTGTTATTGCAACTACTTGACTCATAGTTAAATACACTATCTATGTACATTTTAACCTGAGCAATATACAAGCTGTGGACTTCAGCTCATTCTGTGTGCATTGTATGCTTCTGGACATTTGCTTTACATTGAGTTGATAACATGCAAACTTTGAAAAGAAAAACATTATAAAATAGTACCTTTTAAGGGAGGAGTTCTGATTTTTTGTGAGAGTCCAGTCTGTGTTTGGCTGCTTCAGCTACAGGAAAAGGGAAGAGAAAAGATTGTGCAATCTCACTGTCAAAATCAATTTCAGAAATGGCTCTCTTCAACATAAGTTTCAATAAAACCAGTCTGTATAACAACCGACGGCTGTTCATTATATCCTCTTGGATCACTAGAGGTCAGTGATATTTGACATGAGGAGCAGTCTATCTTTGTGCTTGTCCTGAAATGAAGACATGACTGTTCCACATGGATCGCGGCTGCCGCCCTGTGGATGTTTGGCAGAACAGGATTTTAAAGAGAGGATGTGCGGTTTCCTTCAGCTACGACTTGCCTGCACTTGGTTTTGCTTTTATCGTCTGTAGCGCAGCGTGAGGGGTGAAAGAGAGCACACGAGTGATATTTATTCCGCATCTGAGTCTCATAGTATGGATTGCACGCTCTATTAATTCCCTTAAAGTTGTTAACACGAAGAATGCGACGTAAGCGTATTATAGGAATCGGTATTCAAAATACACTCCCCACCAACTACGCACAAAACCAATTAGAACCCCACCGGGATGAAACAAAACATGATTTTAATCTTCAAAGGAAACCGTGCCAGGGAGGAAATTAAGAAAATTACACACGTCATTGTTTTGTGGATTATATGCATCATTTTACATTAATATTTGCCTGATGCTCCTCGAGCAAGGTTTTTAATTAAAAGTCTCAGGGAGCCTTGAAAAGTTTGCGGTCGTTGCAGCTGTATATGCACAAAACGTGCACGCACCTGCCCTGCTTGTCTTACACGCTTGAATGTGTCTTTAATGTCTCTGTTCACCTTCAATTCATCAACTTCACCAGGCATATGCACTTGGCTTGTATAATGCTAAAATAGTTTCATCGAGATTTGTCTTTGAGGTTTAATGTGTCACTGACGACCTCACGACGACTGATGTGTGCACGCTGAGGGACACCACCGGGTGAATTAGTGGAACCAATTAACGACAGGAAGGACACTTTCTCCTCGAGGAGCATATAGCTGCAGGCAGAACAATCACCGTGACCTCGAAATCCCTCTTGTGGCCAGAGGTGCATGTGCCAGGGACCGAGCTGACATTTCTCAGTCTGCCTGGTAGGGTCTGGTGTCTTTGTCCCTTTGCGTTTTGGTAAAAACAGGGAAGCAACAATGAGCGATACACACACACACACACACATGGACGGACTGCTGCCTGGTCTTAGAAAACACGGGTGTAGACATCCTGCTCTGTAAAGTGTCTTTCTCCTTGTCTCTTTCCTCTTCCTCCTTCCTCGCCACCCCTCCTCTCCCCACTCTCTCTCTCTCTCTCTCTCTCTCTCTCTCTCTCTCTCTCTCTCTCTCTCTCTCTCTCTCTCTCTCTCTCTCTCTCTCTCTCTCTCTCTCTCTCCTCGCATTCAGAGGATAACGTCGGGACCGATCTACAGGCGGCCCACGTCTCAGTCCAGCCGTGTCCTTGCCCCCTCCCCTCTCGATGTCCTACCCTGTCTCCCAAAAACCGTCCATTTGCCATTTTTCATCAATAATGGACAGCCCCCCCCCCCCCCCCTTTGCGAATAGGCCACATTGTGTAGTATAATGGTTCAGCCTTGCTTGTGCCCTTGAGGCATAGTTAGTAAGGTTATCTGTCCTATATTGTTAGTTTGAGGACATAAAGAACAGGTCGAAAAGAATCCAAGGCAAATGAATTCAAATAAATGTCATTCACCTTGTTCGTCTCAAATATAACCTTGACTTTTGTTCTATCTCCAGTAGATGTGCTGAAAGCAGGTGTGTCTCCTCATTGCATGAATAGTAATTGATGACACTGGGTGATATCGTAATCTCCAAGGTTTCCAAAACAATTACGTTCATGATTTTATTTTTTTATTTTTTTTTAAAAGAAGCTTTTTCCACTTTATCTTTCTTTCACCAAGACTGAGTAGGAGTCAATTTGAACTACATCTTCTCTTCCTCTCACACAGTAATTGATATCTCACTTCATTCTTTCCAGATGCTATAGACATGGTGTAGGCACAGAATATGCTCCTTACAAGATAGGACTTTACACTTTCATTACCATGTCAATTACAATGTAATCTCACGTTTTCTCATTTAATTTCCCGGGTGCAACACATTACAATGCACACTAATGATCAATTATTGCCACGAAAAAAAAGCTTTGCTCAGTCTTTTGCTCAAGTGGAGTTCAAATCTGTATGGCATGCGTGATTTGACCTTCGTGGAAGAATGTCACAGACAATATACTTATCAGATAGAAAAGAGAGATGGGTTTGTTTGGCACTGAGAGAAAATTATGGATTGCAATAACCAGCAATATTACAGTCTTAAACTATACGATGATTGCACTGTACCTCATTAGGAGTAGTTGCTCCGTTGTTCACAGATGCGCTCCGGCTTTGCGCGTTCCACGAGTTTTCTGCGCTCTTCGCCTCGTTGTTTCTCGGCGTGCTCCCGGGGCTGCACGGCTTCAGAAACATAAAGTCACTTTTGGCTGATTCGGGGGTCAAGCACACTTTATAACAATATGACTGCGAGAGACTGCTGTTTCCATTCACCTCCATACAGTTTGTGGGGACTTTGGCCGCGGAGGAAATCTGCAGGTTGAGGTTTGATTTTTTGAACACCTCCGGGGGCGGATCGGGCTGAAACCCCCCGCAACAGCAGCATGCGAGCGGGGGGAGGTTGTACCCGCTGAGTGTGTCTCTGTCCTTGTAACACTTGACTGCAGCCAGCACGATAATAGCCACAAGGAATATTAAAGATATTGTGCTCAGTGACACGATCAAGTAGAGAGCGAGGTTTGAGGGGGGCTGTGGGCTGAGTGTGAGGTCTCCGAAATCTGACAGCGACTCGGGAACACTGTCTACCACTGTAAGGATAATGGAGACAGTGGCAGATAGAGGCGGCTGTCCGTTGTCCTTGACTAGTATTACCAGTCTTTGCCTTGTTGCGTCTTTCTCCACCAGCCGGCGAATAGTCCTGATTTCGCCTGTGTACAGAGCCACACTGAACAGCCCCGGGTCTGTAGCCTGCAACACCTGATAGGACAGCCGGGAGTTTTGTCCTGCGTCCGCGTCTAACGCTGTTATTTTGGTAACCAGATACCCAGCGTCTACTGACCGCGGAACCACCTCTGTGGCCACGGTGCCGTTTTTGGGCAGAGGGGATACAATAACAGGTGCATTGTCGTTCTGGTCCAAAACAAAGACGTTGACTGTGATGTTATTGGCGAGAGGGGGGAATCCAGCGTCCTGCGCCTGTACCAAGATCTGAAAGTTTCTAAGTTGCTCATAATCAAAGGAACGCAGTGCATATATATTGCCGTTGTCAGAGTTGATTGAGACATAAGTGGACACGGGCATGCCCTGGATCTGACCCTCGAGAATAGAGTAAGACAGATAGGCGTTCTGGTTAGAATCGGGGTCGAATGCAGTTACAGAGCAAATGGAAGCGCCCGGGGCATTATTCTCGGTCACATAAACAGTGTATGAAGGCTGAGAGAACCGCGGGGGGTTGTCATTAATGTCAGATACTTGAACGAGGATGGTTTTCCTCGTGGAGAGCGAAGGAGAGCCCAAGTCTCGGGCTGTGAGGGTGATATTGTACTCAGACACCGCTTCCCTGTCCAGAAACTCGCTTGTCACCAGAGTGTAATAGTTTTTAAAGGAGGAATGGAGCTGAAAGGGGACGTTGCTCGGGATTTGGCAGTCAACGTTTCCGTTCTCTCCCGAGTCCCGGTCCATTACACTGATAACGGCTATCACCGTGCCCGGTGGTGCGTCTTCCTGCACAGGCGTGGACACTGATGTGAGGATGACTTCGGGTGCGTTGTCATTGACATCAAGGATGTCTACCAGCACTTTACTGTGTACAGCCACAGCCGAGGGTCCCCTGTCTTTAGCCTGCACATACAGTTCAAAAACACTGGCTTTCTCATAGTCCACGATGCCCTTCACTCGGATTTCTCCCGTGTACGGGTCCACGCTGAATAGTTCCCGCACCTTGAGGGGTGCGTGCCCGCTAAATGCGTAGGTCACTTCCCCATTAGATCCTTCATCCAGGTCTGTGGCGTTCAGCTTCAGCACGAGCGTCCCTCGCGGTGCGTTCTCCACCAGGCTCGACCGGTAAACCGAACGGTCAAATACGGGCACGTTATCGTTTGCGTCTAACACTGTAATAGTTATCACTGCTGTCCCAGATCTTTCCGGAGAGCCCCCGTCAAAGGCAGTCAAAACCATTTCGTGCTTTTTTTGCTTTTCCCGGTCAAGCGGGGTGTCCAGCACGAGCTCAGCAAACTTGTTTCCATCGTTGCGCGTCTGGATGTTTAGTACAAAGTGCTCGTTTGCGCTTAGCTGGTAAGAGCGCAGAGAGTTGGTGCCCACGTCCTGATCCTGTGCGCTCTCTAACGGGAAACATGAGCCGGGAGCAGCCGACTCTGTGATGTCAATATTAAACTCGCTCCATGGGAAACTGGGGGAGTTGTCATTAACATCTAAAATCTCCACTTCCACTCTGTACAGTTCTAAGGGGTTTTCAATGACCACTTGTAAGTGTAAAAAACAGTTCGGACTTCGTTCACACAGATCCTCTCTGTCTATCTTTTCGTTGACGAAGAGAATGCCATTCTCCAAGTTTACTTCTAAATACTGCCTCTTTGCGCCCGAGACTATACGAAACCGACGTGCTGACAGCTTGGCCACATCCAAGCCCAGATCTTCGGCGATGTTGCCCACAAAAGCTCCATGCTCCAGCTCTTCGGGAATGGAGTACCGAATTTGGGCAAGAACCAGGTCCACTACACACGCACACAGAAGCAGACATACAACCAGCCCAGTCACCGGTACCCAGCTGCCTCTGGAGAGTCTGTGATCCATTTCAGCGGCGTGCGTAAAATCTCCTCACCCAGACATATTTTGCCTCACAAAGCCATCATACTGTACAGCTACAAAGTACATACAAAAGCAAAACCTGTCCCATATTAAAAAAATCAGATCTAAGGTTGTCACATGTATGTGCTCAGATAAGTTTACAGAATAGTTCAACTGAGGGGAGAGGAGAAAAGAGTGAAATCACCCCTCTCTCTCGCTCTCTGTTGTGCTCCACGCGCAACACTGGTGGTGTGTGAACAGGGGAGGCTCGCGCTTTGATTTTCCAGTGTATTAGACACTTGGAGGAGCTGGTGGGAGGCGTGTGTGTATGTTGTGAGGGAGAGAGAGAGAGAGAGAGAGAAATAGTGGGGGTGGACGTAGATTCTCGAGGCTCCGTATTGGAGGACGCCGACGCGAAATGCGACTCTAATTACTGTAGACGTTTAACCCTTTCACATCCTCGCGTCTGTTCCTCTGACCCATTAAAGAGACGAGAAGGCGTACATTTGACACCAGACGCCAGAGCCAGATTTGGATTAGGGGACAAATTGTGTTGTGGGTGTCGTTTTCTAGGCTGTATTTAATAGATGAGGATGGACAAGGATTTGTCTTGGTCACCACATTGCCCTACAGGCCCGGGATGGCAGTGGAAGACATTAGTTTTCTTTGATGTGTTGAACCCATCATTATAGCTTAAGAAACATAACGTTTTCTTCCAGGGTTTCACTATTATATGTTGCAGTGCAAAACACAAGAAGCACACTAGCCCAAGTTCTCATTCGCTTTTCCTCAAGTGGGCCAGTGGCCACTGCCATTGGCCTCCTGGGATTGTATAATGCTGTTTAATGAGAGCCCTTTGAAGATGAATGCCCACATGCAAAAACAGTCCTATTCATTAATCATCACACACAAAATTGGGTTTCACAAAAAGAATCTTTGATGCGTCAGGATTTTCCATTTTAATCAATATTTAAACAAGTATACATTTACAGCTTAAAATGATTAGAGTGACAATCACGGGCTGATGATACACGACTTTAATTCACCTAAGTAGGCCTGAACATGTATCAACATAATCAACATAAAAGCAATGACACAAAGCCTTAATCTAACTTGTCTATAATCAGGTATTATTGTTGTGATTAGTAAATATCCCTTAGGTGATGTGTTTACAGTTGTAGATGAAAAGGGCCAGCATGATGCTAAGGGATGTTTTCGAGGACTAAAATATATAAGTGACTACAGTAGATCATACTATGTGAGCACTGTAGTTGTTACAGGACAAAGAGGACAGCGCGGGCCTCTTTAGAGTGAGGCACATGTTTGTTCAGATATAATCTTTTCTCTGTTAATCCCGGTCAGTTAGACAACCACTGAACCCCAGAGAGAGGGAAAGAGAGAGAAACTAAAGGATGCCTTTGTGGATTCCGGTTCGTCTCGAGACAGACACGAGTGGCATCCTAATGTAAAACGGTGGCTTGAGATCTGAAAGTCTCTTCTTGGGACTGACGACACAGCTTTGGCCCCCGGGCAGCGCTGAGCTTGTTAGCTACTTAAAAAGAAGGAAAAAGCGAGAGGGAAATTATAGAAAAAGAACAAGACACAAACATCCTAGGGGCAGCATTTCCTTTTTACACTATACGCTACATTTTCTGGCAAATTGCCCTCGAAACCTGAGGAATGCGCTTTCTCTGTCGAAAATGGTGTTGATGGTTGCGCCTCTGTGAGAATTATCAAGGAAACAAAGCTCCGTTGATGTATTATGTTGTTGTGATCTTTTCCCTCAAGAAAATCAAACTAGGATAGTGGGGATACCTCAACTTTAAGTGGTTGTTTCATAGTGTTTTCTCTTTCAAGCTAACTGAGAAAAATAACTTGAGCAATCAGGAAATGGGTGTGGGATGTAGTTTATGTATTATGTTCAGTCTGCAATTTAAATTGTCTGAAGATAAAAGGTTACGATCTATTTTTGCCAACAACTGGAATGTCCAAATGATTAGTGCTCATTATGGAACAAGATGTTACATCATAAGTACTCTTGTACTTTTCCCTGAAGAGTGTCAGCGACCTGTCTCTCTAACATGCAGCCCCCGAAAAGCAACACCCTCCCCTCACCAGGAAAAAATAACTAAAATCCTCAGGTTTAAATAAGCAGAAAACACAATCTGCTTGCAGACTTAACCTCAAGCAGATGGTTAAGCTTCTCCAGAAATGATTACATTTCTGGAGAAGAAAAAATCACCACCACCAGTTCCATTGCTTTCCTCTTCTTTTTAATTAACGGAGTGAAGGATTAGTGTGCAGCTATCCGGGATCAACCGTTCTCCGACGGAAGAATACAAATGTTTTGTGATAAATAATCCCAAAGCACTCCGGCCGGCGGTCCCTCGGTGCCTGTTACATTAACATGCATTACACGGAGCATTAAGCTGGTCTCATCCGCCCCTATCGCCTCGCTCACCCCTTTGTCAGACAGAAAGACAGTCATTACTTTCTCTGAACTGCCGCTCGACCGTGACCCGATACTCTGCACTCTGGAGGGAGGGTCACAGGATGGAACGTTGGCCGTGGGGTCAAGAGTGGTAAAGGGCCAATGGTAGGAAACCAATGAACTATTTTGCGCGTTTGAAGTAAACAAGTAAACTTTCAGGGATTTCAGCAGGTAAATGCTAGGTTTTATTGACCCATACAATGTCCACAAGCCAACAAAATAATTGCATTTTGTTTGCAATGCTGTGGCGCCATCTACTGAGTACTGTTCGGTAATGTAATGTGTTGAAATAAACCGGCCTGTTGTAATCTCAGTGCATCTCAACATGGTGTTGAACAATACAAAGGCCATTTGAATCACATTTTCCGTTCTGGATTTGCGTATAGACTGTGCAGATAAACACATACGCAATATAGCAATGGATTCATATATATAAGTGTAGCTAATCTATTGTGAACCAATTCACATAATAAGATGAATATGTTAGCTATCAAGGAAATTATTAGCTGTGCACGTCTGTAACAAAAGAGTACTCTCTTGTCAATCCTTCCTCAGGCTCATTTGAGAAATCATCACACTCAAAGGTAGAACACTGAAAACATATCCAATGTGACTATAAAGATACACAATAAACAGTGCATTTACATTTATGACCGTTAAGTTAAGCTCATGGGGTGTTTTGGTGAGAGTAAAAGGATGAGATGTGTTACTGCTGGATGTGACAATTAGTCTACACTGCAGGCTGGATCAATTTATGGATATAAATAAGATAATATAATAACCCCTGAAGGGGTGCTCCCCCCCCCCCCAGAATATGCTTCTCACAAACACTTAATATATACAAAACTGGGGGAAAACACATTAAAAGCTAATTAATTGACATATCCCAAAGCACCTATCAGGATTGTTCAATTAATTGTCAGCAGTTGTAACTTTGTCCCCGTCAGAGGCCATTTTTTATTGTCTGTAGTGTTTTGGTATTTTTATCTCTGGTCTTAGTGCGCCATCTACTGGATATCGATCGGTATAAACTACTGTGGCATAAATAATAAAGAGAACACCATACATTATTATACTGTAAAAAATGTTGTCTGCTTCAGTAACCGGGCAGCTATCATCTTAAGCGTTAAAGTTATTTATACCAATCTTATTAATCGTTTTTGCTTTATTTATTGGTGCAGTGCCCATCTATTGTACAGTGTGGTGTATGATATTTTACCGTTCTTTGTAGAGGTTGACTTTATACACATGATCGTGTCTTTTCCTCTTGACTATTGAGTATGTCCCTGACCAAAAAAAAGCACATTCAATTAAACAAGATAACCAGGACTTGTTTTATTGTCAGCAGCCTCGCCCATTATAACAATCCGTTTATGTATGTATTGTTATTTTCGAAGCAGAGTATGTAATAATACTTTTATCAGTGGACAACTGGAAAATGTGACTTTACAAAGCAGTTTTTTCTGTAAACCAAAAATGCATAATATTGCTTACAATAAACGAAACGTATTCCATTTAGAGCATTTAAAACCTATACAGAAGAAAGTCTGTTTTTCTGCAAACTTCTACAAGAGACAAGCATGCTTTCTGAGCTGCTCTTTAACAACACGAGTCAGACCATTAAAAACTGCAGTGAAATACACTTCTCTGGAGGAAAAACAATCGCAATCAGAGCCTTAGTAATGTATTTTATTTTGTATGTCAGATTCGGAGTACAGTATTATCAAAGGCAAAGCACTCTATGTACAAAGGCATGTGGTTGTTCATAATGTGGGTCCCGTACCCTTCAACACTCGCTCTACAGAGTGGAAACAGCAAATGAAGTAACTATTAGGCTAAACCACTGCAACAGAATGATATATACATTCTTTAAAAGCCAGTAACACATACTGGACATGCCGATCGTAATGAAGTCAGGGAACATTTTTGAAAGAAACGCAAAGGTATTTTTTTTGTTCAAAATACCTGTCCTCAGATAGCTCACGTGAATGATTCTGGCACTTTCCCCTGCCAATGTCTCTAAATTATAATAACTGATACATATTTTCGGCATTCCCGGATTGAGTTTAAATGACGTCATCTTCTTTTGAAAATAGGAGTTTTGCCGCGTTGACACAGAAAATCCACAAGGTGGAGCTAAAGACCAATTAAAGACGGGCCGAAGAAGAATATTCCACCTTAACAGGGGTGTCCAGTGTCGACACTTTTTTCACCGAGGGCCACATAAAGAAAAATATAACAAGGGCTGGGCCGCTCAACAGAGGTGAGGTGTATTGCCTCATAAATTAAGTTATAAGTCAGCGAAATCAATCAAGTGTAGGTAAATTAAGCTTGTTTCTTGAATATGCTTTAAGAAAAAACAGCCTAGATCCCAGCTCTCCACAGGGTTTCATTTATTTTTTTGGCAGCTCATTCCTTAAAACAGGATCCTCAGATTGCTTATCATAGGGGGAAATGTGAAGGGTATATTTCACGCTTTTTAAAGAAATAAGTTCAGAGTAAGAAATAAGTTATTGGGCTTTTTTCTTATCAAGTTAGATTTGTTAGAAAATGTTTTCAAATTGAATTGACTGAATTTATTTTAAAAGTTGGCTTATTAACACATGAATAATGTGTAATATATGTTTACATATATATTTAAGAAGTACAATACAAGACAAGCACAAGTTTCATTTGTTGGCCATATTTCATTACACTTTCAGAATGGGCTCTGGGCCGATTCAAAATGACCTGCGGGCCGCATTTGCCCC